CTCCTAAATCACTCGTACGCACAATTTAAGAACAAATCTGTATGTACGAACGGTTCTTGCATGAGGCCCATTGTTTTTACTCTATACCATACGTCCAGAACCAGATGAAGTGAATGTCAATGTTAAATTTGTTTATATAGCACATTAAAACAACAAAAGCTGACCAAAGTGTTTTACAGTTCAGTCATGACTTGTATCAAAAAACAAATAAATAATGGATACAAATGCAATACAGAAACACACTATAATATATAAAAGCTCTTAACTGAACCTCCAACTCTGTCTTGGTCAAAAGGCCAAAGAAAAGAGATGGGTCTTCAGCAAAGATTTAAAAGCCTCAACAGTCTCAGCTGACCGAATTGTAAGAGGCAGACTGTTCCACAGTTTTGGAGCAGTTTTTGCAAATGCCCGGTCACCTCTAGATTTCACTTTGGATCTAGGAACATCTAACAGAAACTGGTTGGTAGACCTGAGTGCTCTGACTGGAGTGTAGATGTTAAAGGGGCAATATTATGTGTTTCTCAGGCATATATTTAAATACTATACCATAATAAAGTATCTATGTCACCTTTAGCTGTTATTAAAATGCTGTTTTTATGTTTAAATAGAAAATAAACGTATCTTCTCATCACTTCCTCTTCTAAACGCCTTGAAATTGGCCTCTGTCTCTTTAAGTACCTCCTGCTGCTACTGTTCCTTCTCATTCGGTGGGGGGGTTCGCACGCAGGGGGCTCGTGTCTGCGTGCGTGGGGGGTTGCGCGTGTGCTATGATGCGGTTTACTTGACATCTGAAAATACATTTCCTCAAAAGTATTTTTAATCTGAAAAGAGCTTCACTGAGTGAGAACTWATGTTGAGAGCTCAGCAGACAGTTAAGTTTCACTTTCACTTTGACCTGAGAGCCTGCAGGAGTCATGGGCGGGGTGTGTGGGGAGGGGGTCCACTCTGCCATGAGGAAGTTCGGCTTAAAGACACGTCCCAGGGGCGTTTCTGGTCCCCACCTGTCGTTTTGCTCCTCTGCATGGCTTCATAAAAATGCTGCAGGATTTCTCAAACATGCATGAATGAGTCAGAGCAAGGCTTTGGGCATGTTTTTTATGAGAGTGTAACGTTATAACATGATATAAAACTCAAAGAAGTTGATTTTACATGATATTGCCCCTAAGAATATCACATAAATWGGACCATTAAAAACTTTAAAAGCCAACAATAAAATCTTAAAATCAATTCGCAGGTGAACAGGAATTCACTGGAGAGAAGCCAGGACTGGGGTTATGTGTTCATGCTTTTTAATACTTGTTAAAAGACGAGCTGCTGCATTCTGGACAGTCTGTAGGCGATGTAGAGATGATTTATCCAAGCCAGCGTATAATTACAATGGTCCAAGTGAGTGGTAATAAAAGCATGAATCACCTTTTTCAAGGTGGGGAGAGATGATTTCACCCTAGCAATCAATCTTAATGGGAAAAAACTTTATTTCAATTCAATTCAATTCAAAAATACTTTATTGATCCCAGAGGCAAATTAGGTTNTATAATTTTATCAGTAATTTATAATAAATCAGACAGAAAAATCCAAGAATTCTGATAAAAACTGAGAATAAGGGGCCTGGTGGACAATAAATAACTAGGTTGTGGACATTTTGAATAAAACCAATTGACTCTTAAATTACTAAAAGCTATGTTTAAGCTATCACTTTCAACATCTACATGAATATTGAAATTCCTCATAAGTTTATCAGTAATTGCATGTCTGTTCTCCTAGAATTTAGCTCTTTTAATTTTTTTCACGTGTTACGTAAAGATTCTGAAACACRTAAATTCTTTAAGCTAACATTAGGTGCATTTGAATGAATAGTGAAGTTTAGATAGAGACTGTTTTCCGCTAATGGTTTATGTTTTCAGTGTAAACCATGATGTACAGCTCAGGGCTGTATAACAGCTTTCAGAGGATGCAGTTGGTCTTGAAATGAGGGAACATAATTATTAATGCCTTCCTCAGGAGACTCAGGACTTTGATGGGTGCCACTTCACCATCATGCTGTTGAAGAAAACACTTGCACCCTCTCTGATCTGTCACTGAGACAGTTGGGGAGGAGCTGTTTCATTTTGTCAGTTATCTGGGGGTCCTCAATTAAAGTGAAACTGCCCAAAACAAACCCACGTTTCCCCCGTTGTACTATGGAAGGTTTGAATGTTGGTCAGATGCTCGCTTTATAGAAAATGCTGTTAAAACAGGAACTCAGCAGCAGCAATCTTGTCACATTTACATTCCCCTTACTGTTACTGCATTTTCTACAAAGTCAGTCTGATCAACATTCCGACCTACTTTAACCGAACATTCTTAAAATGCCTCTTCTGGTTCAAAAACGAAGTGTTGTAAAAATCGCCTCAGCATCATGACTGTTTGCAGTGACTGGGGTTATGAAACTCCTCCACAGGTTACATTTCTTTGAAAGCCAGTTTCAAATGGTGTGTTTTAACTACTACAGTATATATCTTTGTTTACTGTTCAGTGCAGTAAGCATACATGTCAACCCCTTTGGACGTTTACCTGTATAAAGAGCCTCAAAAATCCGTACAACTTGCACCCGCGAGGGGTGGGGTTGGGAGGGTGGGCTGAATGACTGGAGGAAAGGAGAGCGGAAGAAGTCCAGAACTTATTTCTAGCGGCAGAACAAGTTGGAAGATGGTTATTTGATTTATTCATTGTTTTTTTTTTTTTTTAATCATCCTACAGGCTCACATGTTAGATAAATTTGAAAATGAGGTTTTGAAAAAACCCATTAGACGTGAAAAAATCTGTAAGATTGATCTATACACCTGTATACCTGCAAAATGACGTAAAATCCTTATAAATTACGGACAATCCGTACAAGTTGATGTGTGTGAGAAAGTCAAATGTGGGAACAAGTTAGACTAATGAACCATAAGACACAGCAGGGGAAGTGATTGATGCCCTGCTGATTGAATGTAGGAGGTTGTTTGGCCCAACACACTAAATCCTTAATGTTTCTCTGTTTCTGTGGTTTCTGCTCAACTTGAAGCTTTAGCTCCCTCCAGACTTTTATCAGAGGGAGGTCTGGAAACCCTAGGGTCTTACGTCACTGGGCTGTGACTGTTGCTGTCTATTTGGTAACTCAAAGCTGCTTTTGCAACCAGTGAGCTGTGCAGCCGCGTGTTTAACTAAAAAAAAAAAGTTATTTCAGTGAAATGGGGTGGAACAATGCATGCATCTGTATTGAATCATTCAATACAAATTGTATAGAACAATACAGGTTTTTAAAAKAAATTTATCAGCTTTTCCAGATCCCACAGCTTAAGAGAAGTTCACTTTAAAATTTAAGACTTTTTTCAGTACCACTTGAAATTAAATTTAAGACCAACTTCACAATAAACATAAATGGAAATGGAAAAAAAAAACAGTTAGCAACAATTTTACCCAAATGTTTATTTTACCACAAAACAACCAGCTGTGAGGCATTTGATATATATTATTAAAAAATAATAAATTACAAATTTTATTATTTCAGATTAATTACAATGATCCTCGTTGTGTGTTAAATCAATCTTTCAGAGCTCTTGAAAATGTTTAAATTTTAAGACTAATTACTTACTTAGTTTTGTATTGATGAATTCAATGCCTTTTTAAAGACTTTTTAAGGATCCGTGGGATTCCTGTTGTCTTCTGCAGATGCTGTGTTGAAGGCTCAGAGGATCTCCATTCAACTACTCTGCCTAGGCTGCATTGTCAAGTGCAGATCTAGAAACCTGCTGATTCAGCAACATTTAATTTAAAAACTGTACTATTGAGGGTAAACAAGTGTTCATAGTTATTCTCAATAAATTACAAGCATGGACATTTCTGTTTTCTGTATCGAAAATACAGTATATTGAACCGTGAGACTAAAATATCGAACAGAATCATATATAAATTAAATAAATAAAATCAGAACAGGAAAGCTTGGGCTGTCATTGCATTCTCATTGTGCCAGTTTCAGCTGTGTCTGAGCAGTCTCTCCCAGCTGAAGGACTTCTGACTCGGTTTTATCACTCATGTGTTCCCAGCTGCAGGGAAGCTSTTTACTGTTTCATTTGTAATAAGTGTAAAGAATTCTCCTAAAGGAAATTTTAAAAAGAAAGAAGCTTCAAGACTTACAGGAGGACTTGGCTTATAAATGTGTTTTTTTTGTCTCCACAGATCATCAGAAGCTGGAYCGGGAGGCCAGGATCTGCCGCCTGCTTAAACATCCCAACATCGGTAACTATTACTCCCTTTAATCTCTTTAAACTTTAAACTCTTTTTTTAGACTAGCATGGATAGACTGGTGTTGGCATTGGAGAGGCTAGTGATTAACATGGATAAACTGGTGTTAGCAATGGAGAGGCTAACACCAGTTGAGTTACTCTCTAACCAAGCCTGCAATGAGTTTGCCTCTTTCTTTATAGAAAAAAATTCAGAAAATTAGACAGACGGTGCATCTGTGCCATCTACAGGAAGTGTGCTATCGCTGTGTCCACCCAAACCAAATCCAAATATCATGACACAATTCAATCCCATAAATTATAAAATCCTGGATGACATTATTCATCATCTGAAATCCACCACCTGTTGCCTTGACACTCTGCCAACAAAGTTTTTCAAAAACGTCGCAAATTGTATGGCCATAGATCTTCTACAGATTGTAAATATATCTCTGCTTTCAGGTGTTTTCCCACAGGCCCTGAAAACAGCCATCATAAAGCCACTTTTGAAAAAGAGCAACATTGATACCTTACTATTAAACAACTATAGGCCAATATCTAACCTCCCCTTTTTGAGCAAAATCATTGAAAAAGCTGTTTTTCAACAACTTAATCACTTCCTAACACTGAACGACTGCTTTGATGTCTTTCACTCAGGTTTTCGGCCACACRATAGTACTGAGACTGCTCTTGTTAAAGTCTGCAATGACATCCGGATGAACATAGATGKTGGAAAGATTTCAGTCCTACTACTACTGGATCTTAGTGCTGCATTTGATACTGTTGACCATACCATATTAGATAGGCTAAATAAATTGGTGGGACTCTCTGGTACAGCGCTTAGCTGGTTTGAATCCTATTTAAAGGATAGAGACTATTTTGTGTCTACAGATGATTACAAATCTGATCAAACAAAAATGACCTGTGGAGTCCCCCAAGGCTCCACCTTGGGCCCTCTGTTGTTCAACATCTACATGTTCCCATTGGCACAAATTATAAATAACAAAATAAGTTGACCAGAATTATGCAGATGACACGCAAATTTATGTAACCATATCAACAGAAGACAAAGGTCCAATTCAAACACTGATCAATTGCATTGATCAAATTAATGATTGGATGTGCCAAAACTTTCTTCAGTTAAACAAAGACAAACTGAAATAATTGTTTTTGGTGCCAAGGAGGAACGATTAAAAGTTAGTACTCGGCTTCAGTCAGTGACCTTAACAACCAGTAACCAAGCTAGAAATCTGGGTGTAGTCATGGACTCAGACCTGAGTTTTAACAGCCATATAAAAATAGTTCTGAAGTCAGCCTATTATCATTTAAAGAATATATAAAGGATCAAAGGATTGATGCATCAACAGGACTTAGAAAAACTTGTCCATGCACTTATTTTTAGTAGACTGGACTACTGTAATGCTGTGCTCCCAGTCTCTCTAAAAATGAATTAGGCAGCTGCAGTTAGTTCGGAACGCTGCTGCTAGAGTCCTCACAAAGACCAAGAAAAGGGACCATATAACTCCAGTTCTTAAATCCTTGCACTGGCTCCCCATCTGTCAAAGAATTTATTTCAAAATACTGCTATTGGTTTATAAAGCACTGAATGGTCTAGGGCCAAAATATATGACTGATCTTCTGGTCTGCTATAAACCACCCAGAGCCCTCAGGTCGCCAGGGGCAGGCCTGCTCTCTGTTCCCCCACTTTTTTTGCCACCTCAGTAGAAAGCAGAACTGAATATCTGAATATTAGTATCTTAGCTTCTTCATCATCAGTGGCTTTTTTTTACTAGGAGAAAAAGAAAAAAGTGAAATGTAATGAGAGAGTGAAAGAGAGATTAGAAGATATGTGAAATATATGTTGAGAACGCAAGACAGCACACCCGACTTCTTGGCTCCACACCTACAAAAACAAAGATAGCAAAACCACAGCAACAAAAATGCATATCTAAATAATTATAATGACTATAGCCTTGCTGAAAACCATACATTTCTACATATACACATAAACATACCCATACCTACATATCCAAACACTTTATATATATATATATATA